TTCTGTCTGGATGATCTGTCCATTAGTGTAACTGAGGTGTTAAAGTCCCCCACTATTATTGTGTTACTGTCAATTTCCTCTTTTATAGCTTTTAGCATCTGCCTTATGTATTGAGGTTCTCCTATGTTGGGTGCATATATGTTTATAATTGTTATTGTCTTCTTCTTGGATTTTGGTCCCTTCATCATTAGGTAGTGTCCTTTCTTGTCTTTTGTAACATTCATTAATTTAAAGTCTATTTTATCTGATATAAATATTGCTACTCCAGCTTTCTATTGATTTCCACTGCATGCAATATCTTTTTCCATTCCCTCACTTTCAGTCTGAATGTGTCCCTAGGTCTGATGTGAGTCTTTTGTAGACAGCATATAGATGGATCTTGTTTTTCTATCCATTCAGTGAGCCTGTGTCTTTTGGTTGGAGTATTTAATCCATTCACATTTAAGGTAATTATCAATATGTATATTCCTATTTTCTTAATTGTTTTGGGTTTGTTTTTGTATGTCCTTTTTTTCTCTTGTGTTTCCCACTTACAGAAGTTCCTTTAGCATTTGTTGTAGAGCTGGATTGGTGGTGCTGAATTCTCTTAGCTTTTGCTTGTCTGTAAAGCTTTTGATTTCTCTCTCTGTCGAATCTGAATGAGATCCTTGTCAGGTAGAGTAATCTTGATTGTTGGTTGTTCCCTTTCATCACTTTAAAATATCCATGCCACTCCCTTCTGGCTTGTAGAGTTTCTGCTGAGAAATAAGCTGTTAATAACCTTATGGGAGTTCCCTTGTATGTTATTTGTCATTTCTCCCTTGCTGCTTTTAATAGTTTTTGTTTGTCTTTAATTTATGGCAATTTGATTACTATGTGTCTCGGCATGTTTCTCCTTGGGTTTACCCTGCCTGGGACTCTCCGCGCTTCTGGGACTTGGGTGGCTATTTCCTTTCCCATGTTAGGGAAGTTCTAGACTATAATCTCTTCAAATATTTTCACGGGTCCTTTCTCTCTCTCTTCTCCTTCTGGGACCCCTATAATGCAAATATTGGTGCATTTAATGTTGTTCCAGAGGTCTCTTAGGCTGTCTTCATTTATTTTCATTCCTTTTTCTTTATTCTGTTCTGTGGCAATGAATTCCACCATTCTGTCTTCCAGGTCACTTATCCATTCTTCTGCCTCAGTTATTCTGCTATTGATTCCTTCTAGTGTATTTTTCATTTCAGTTATTGTATTGCTCATCTCTGTTTGTTTGTTCTTTAATTCTTCTAGGTTGTTGTTAAACATTTCTTGCATCTTCTCGATCTTTGCCACCATTCTTTTTCTGAGGTCCTGGATCATCTTCACTCTCATTATTCTGAATTCTTTTTCTGGAAGGTTGCCTATCTCCACTTCATTTAATTGTTTTTCTGGGGTTTTATCTTGTTCCTTCATCTGGCACACAGTCCTCTGCCTTTTCATTTTGTCCATCTTTCTGTGTATGTGGTTTTTCATTCTGCAAGATGCAGGACTGTAGTTCTTGCTTCTGCTGTCTGCCCTGTGGTGGATGAGGCTATCTAAGAGACTTGTGCAGGCTTCCTGATGGGAGGGATTGGTGGTGGGTAGAGGTGGGTTTTGCTCTGATGAGCAGAGCTCAGTTCAAACTTCAATCCACTTGTCTGCTGAAGGGTGAGGCTGAGTTCACTCCCTGTTGGTTGTTCAGCCTGAGGTGACCCAGCACTGGAGCCTACAGGCTCTTTGGTGGGGCCAATGGTGGACTCTGGGAGGGCTCATGCCAAGGAGTACTTCCCAGAACTTCTGCTGCCAGTGTCCTTGTCCCCACGGTGAGCCACAGCCTCCCCTCACCTCTGCAGGAGACCCTCCAACACTAGCAGGTAGGTCTGGTTCCGTCTCCTATGGGTCACTGCCCCTTCCCCCTGGGTCCTGATGCGCACACTACTTTGTGTGTGCCCTCCAAGAGTGGAGTCTCTGTTACCTCCAGTCCTGTCAAAGTCCTGGCATCAAATCCCGCTAGCCTTCAAAGTCTGATTCTCTGTGAATTCCTCCTCCAATTGCTGGACCCGTACGTTGGGAAGTCTGACATGGGGCTCAGAACCTTCACTCCAGTGGGTGGACTTCTGTGGTGTAACTGTTTTCCAGTTTGTGAGTCACCCACCCAGCGGTCATGGGATTTGATTTTACTGTGATTGCGCCCCTCCTACCATCTCGTTGCAGTTTCTCCTTTGTCTTTGGACGTGGGGTATCTTTTTTGGTGAGTTCCAGTGTCTTTCTGTCGATGACTGTTCAGCAGTTAGTTGTGATTCTGGTGCTCTCGCAAGAGGGAGTGAGTGCATGTCCTTCTACTCCACCACCTTGAACCAATCCCCCCGTATGCATTTACTTTTTGATTAAGCAATTCCACTGCTTGGAATTTATTCTGAAGTTATATCCCCAACAATACATAAGCACACATGTAGAAGGTATGAATTTCAACACTGTTCGCATTTGGAAAATATGTAGCCTATATATAGAAGAGCTGGAGAAAGCTATGACATGTGCACGTGATGGAGTACTACAAAACTGTTAAAAAAGAAATGAGGAAAATTTCTATGACCTGATATAGAGTGGTTTTCAAGCTATATTGTTAAATGTAAAAAGCAAACTGAAAAAAGTACTCTTTTGAGTAAGAAAGCAGAAATAAAAATGTACGTATCTGTTCATCAAAAAGAAGTACAGGGAGGCCTAACCAAAAACTAATGAGAACGTTTACCTACAGAGTGAATGGGAACAAGGTGGCAAACATGGGAGTTAGGAAGGGGGTGGAGATAGAAGGAACAGGAAGCCCTGTGAGTTACACATCTCTGAATATAACTTTTTGTATAGTTATGACTTTCAAAACCGAGTTAATATTTCACATATTAAAGATATAAAATCAACAAAGTTGGGGGGAATCCTAAAATAGAATCCAAACAGAAACAAATAAACAACTTTATTTCAAATAAATTAACATAAACAAACTAAAGGTTGGGGGTGGAGGGAATAAAAGAAGTAACTCAAGTGTTTCTTAAATATAACATTTTGACTATATACCTTCAGGCTCTAAACAAAAAGAACCAATGCATTCTGGATAATAGGAGACAGGTTTGTCACTCTCTGAGAAGGGAGTTACAAATGAAAAAAGGAAGGTTAAAATGAACCTAGTGGTATTGGATTAAAATTTGAGGTATTAGTGTGAACTCACGGTTTTTGATTGATAGATAGATAGATAAAAAGATACAGATGTGTGTAAGTGTGTAAGGGGGATGTCTGTGTATATATATATACATTTCCTACCTCTGAGAGAGGGGCTAGAAGCAGTGATATCCCAGTACCAATAAGCACATTTTGTGCCCAAATCGTGGTTTCTAAACATCATCCTCCAATAAGAACTAGAACTCCTTGAAGAAATGACCAATTTCAGAACTGAGACTGGGAAATTAAACTATGAACCTGGAATATCTTGTACCAGAAGACAAGGAGGTGCTCAAAGAATGAAGGGGACACACCAAAAGGGCACAAGGGGTTTTTGCTGGCTGAAGGGGTGAAGGAGTTTTTGCTGGCTGAATCTGGGACAGCATCAAAATAAATCATGATAGTTACAGATAATAACCCATTGAGTAAAACAAGAATCTAGAGTGCCTGTTTAAATTAAATAAATAAGTAGATAAAGGTGAAGGGAAAGCTTTCCATAACTGTAGAATTTTAACTGATAATTACAGAATGAATGATAGAGCTGGAAAATATCAATGCATACCAATACTAGTGGATAAGTTTGATGAGGGACAGGATATTTATACAGTCTCCAAGTATCTCACCATGAGATACTAAATAATTACAAAGGGAAAAATGCTAACTTTACAGAGGAAAATCTGGCATACACCACCTTAACCAAGTGATTAAAGTTAACATCACCAATAATAGAGCAAATTAACATGTTGTACCTCCAAATACAATGCACTGAGAAGAACATGGTGTTATTTCTGCAATATTCATGCCAAAATGTATATCTCCCACCTCTGTCTATAACATAAACCTCCTTTCCTCTTAAAACTCCTTTTATAAAGCACATCATTGTAAAGCAATTATACTCCAATAAAGATGTTAAAACTCCTTTAAAGGTTTCGTCTTTCTGCCTCCACAGGCTTTTAAAAACCTGTGCTATTATAGATTCTATAAAATCTGATTCACATTCACACATTCAATTAAAAATAACTCCATTCCTCTAAGAACTTACATTTTTGTTCTGAAATATGGACTAGTAAAAGTTGAATTAACAGCCTAAAATATTCTAATCTATAAAAATTTCATATTTAGGAAGTAAAATAGACCTGGGAAGCAGCACTTCTATTTCTCTGGTTGTATATGAGAGACTAAAAAGTAGAGCAAAGGATAGTTCTGGCTGAGACTAAACTAAGTTTTCCTTACTATTGTTGATAAAAAGACTAAATTGCATTGTGTGAAAGAATAAAATTTCTACTTGATATTCTCCTTAAAATAAACCTTAGATTAAAAAAAAAACCCACATAAAAGTATTAAGAAACCAAAAGTGATCCAAAAATCTACTGTCAGCCTAGTCAATCTTGCTAGTCAAAATAGCTTAAGGAACTCACACCTCACACCCAATATAGGAATAATCTCACCAAGGGCACTGTAATTCTCCTTTATGCTTGGCTGCGACTTCCCAATGATCCCTATTAAGATAGGTTCAACATTTACCTTTGAGATTTTACTATTTTTTGCTTCTAAGGCTGACTAATCTCTTTCTGCTAAAGACAGTTTCTTTGGACACAATCAGATTACATTTAAAATTTAATGGCTAAAGAGTCAAACTTTCCTTGAATATTATTCTTAAATGGCTATTCTGATATATGATGTACCCAGAAAGCAATCTTATTATCCTTATTTCCAAATTATTGCTAGAAGAGATGAGGCATGCCCCAGCCCCCATATATCAGCAGTAATAACTTAAAACAAAGAGTCAATTTATCAACACAACTCACCATACTTCTTCTAATATAGTTGATGGCTTTTTTCATATCCATGCCAGACCAGTTGTTGAGCATATAGCAAATACAGGAAGCACAGTATACAAATCGCATGTCATTTTCACTGCCTTCAGGTACTGCACAAAAACTGAAAATAATAACCATATGATTTACTGTACTATAATTTATTTTTTTGTAGGGGGGTTAGTTAGAAACACCTACTTCATGTCTTCACTCACAGAAAAAGCTATCACTAAATACAGATTTAAAAACCATATACTACTTGTATTATTCAATAAAGGACTATTAATTTGAATAATATAAAACTATCTCTAAATCAACACTGTACTCCCAAGTTCAATTTCTGGGTAGCTTAACATACTACCACAGTTACTCTTTCCCAGATGCCACCACTCAGAGTAAGTTTCTTTGCTCTCAGCCATGGAAAGCTATGGCACAGTGGCTTGAGAATTAATAGCAGAAAAAGTAGCAGGGACCTATTGGGTAGTAAGAAATTCTCAAGCCCAAGTTCTGCTTATGTGAAATTTCTTCTCAATGTGTATATAGATAACCATTAATTAACTGATCATATTGGTTTTTGTTTTTGTTTTTGTGGTACGCAGCCCTCTCATCATTGTGGCCTCTTCCGTTGCGGAGCACAGGCTCTGGACGTGCAGGCCCAGCAGCCATGGCTCACGGGCCCAGCCGCTCTGCAGCACGTGGGATCCTCCCAGACCAGGGTATGAACCAGCGTCCCCTGCATCGGCAGGTAGACTCTCAACCACTGCGCCACCAGGGAAGCCCCGATCATATTGTTTTAATTTAATTTTCACATATTTAATTAGTTTTAGAGAAGTACATAATAGTTTGTATTTCATATCTATTCTTTTATTTATAAATAAGGATAAGATAGCAGTGACCAAAGACTATAATGAATTATTGAGAAATTAGTCACATGTACTTGCTGAGGTAAATATTTAGTTTTATAGTATTTCCAATTAATGTCAATTTACCTTATATGTTTCCACTAATTTTCCCCTCATCAACAGCAGTGTTTTTAAAATACTGACAGGAAAATAGACACAGCAGTAGATGGACTACAGCTATAACAACGTGGCAGGATTTGTTTGCAAAGTCTTTTCTTTAGATAGCATCACTACTGCTTTATCACTTCCTAAACTTAAAAAAAAAGTTTCACCTTAAAACTTTTTTTTTGTTAGACACACCACTCAAACCATCAAATATTAATGAACTCACTACTTTTTCTATCCTTTAATAATATCACAGAAACTACCTACACTAGAATATAATAATATTCAATGTTCATCCCTTTTTCCCCCATCACTATGTCTTAAGGCATAAAAGTTTAGATTAAATGTATGTCTGCTTCAAAATGTCCATTTTTTTTACCCAGAATGTAAATTAAATTAGATCCTAATCCTGAAACTATTAAACCATTTATTTATGGATCTATTATCACCTTTAAAAAAAAGAAAAATGAACTAAGAAAAAATGGAACTGTTATTGTGATTACTTTTATTTTCATTCACATAAGAAATATTTCACTGATTAGGCACTTAAACCGTATGTATACAGTGAACTCTAGGTGGTTCTAATAAGAGTTTATGATAAACTCTACAATTCTAGTATAAGATTATATCTATTTTTAATTCCAAATGATTTTTCTTAAAAAAAAAAAAGACAAGTAACGAAGAATGACCCATACCTTCCATCTTCTAGCTGAAGGGCTCTCAAGCCTGCTAAGCAAGCTTCTTTATTTACTCGGCTTAGGTCATCTCCAAGAATAACTAAGCATGAAAGGCCAGTGTAGGTCATTGCTATGTGGCCACTATCATAAGGATGAGCTGTTCCAGGATTCTAGATTCAAAATTAATATAATGTTAATTAGAAAACTGAAATGAGATCTTATTTCATTATGCAATTTGACAAGAGGTTTTAGTAAACAGTAAAATTAAATGTTGTTTATACTGATTTGCATAGACATCTGATAGAGACAAACAAAACTCAATTTCGTGTATGTCTCAACCTAAGTATTATTGCATACTTTCCAGGCTACATAATTTTCAATTTTATCCTCAAGTTTATGGAAGTAGGTCTGATATTCAAATAAGCCAAATTATTTCAACTTCCTATTTGACCAACCATATCACTTATAATTTAAGTCTTATAAAGTTAGAAAAGCATGTAGAAATAATTATTTTTTATGCTGTACAAATTCAAATTAAATACCACAGTAGTGATCACCATTTAAAAATCCTACAAAACAATACAGTTGAAAAACATTATTCTATTCTGATATGGTTTAATTATTTGAGTCTCTAATAATATTAACACTTAGAATGACAAAAAAATGCAAAGAAGAGCTCAAGATACTAATATTGAAAAATTCTCTAGAAATAAAACAATCTAATTTTTAAAGTTTAAATTATCAAATGAGCATTGATTGCAAAAAGTCTTTTGTGAAGACTGTTAGACTAGTAATTGCCCAGGCAGAGCTGGGGAGTCAAACTAGGAAACTCATATAACCAGAATATTTATTAGATTAGTTTCACTGATTTGACTGTTTCAACAAAACTATCAACAGTTATCAAAGTCTCTTAAGGTTTATAAAATATGTGACTCCTTGTAGGAAATCCTGTAGACTCTAGCTGGCACTGGCATAGATAAAATTAATTAAAAAACTTATTAAAGTAAAAGTAAAAATGTAAAACCAAGTAACTTTACATTCTGCAATACACAAAGCATTTAAAGTTTTATAATTATTTTCAAATAGCCAATCCTGTTTGGTTATTTTAAAAAGATGATTTCACTTAAAAAATGTAAAATTTCACATTGTACTATTTCTCAGTTTAAGAAAGTTTTAATTTTGATAGAATAAGAGTGTATTTTAAATTCATCTTTCTCACAGGATTTCCTTCTGTTTTAGTTTGGGCTCATCAATAATTGCTTCAAATACTAGAATAACTGCCCATAACATTAGAAAGTTAAAATGAAGCTTGTACCAAGATTCTGGTTAAAACAGACTCCTCTGCTTTCTACAATAAATGTTAGCTTCTACACTACTGTAAGGCATCAAATCCTGGCTCTACTACTCACTGCTGCATTTTCTCATTCTGGAAAATGGAGATATTAGTACCTATTTCACAGGGTTACTCTGAGGATTAAATAAAATTACTGTCTGTACAGATGCTAGTTATCTTACTGATGATGATGCAAGTGCAAGGCAAATATCAAAAGGGCCACTACTTCTTTGGAGTCACGACTCAAGGGTCTTGAAACCACTAGTGACTTAATCAGAATACTTTGCTGCTCACTGACCTTCTGTAGTTCTTCATAGAATAAGTTTGCAAAGGTGTTCAATATCCTCTATAATCTGAACTCACCCCACCTACCCAGCCTTACATATACAATTCCTTATATGGTCTCACAAATATGACAAGCAAATTTTCACCGTGGTATTTCTTTCATTCTGAGCTCCTCCTTAGAACTCAAGCTTTAATACTCCTGGATATCCTATTCCACGTTTATAACTGCCTTCTTAGAAATCCTGTAACGTTTCATTTTTTGGTACTCACACTAAATATCTGCTATGTTAAAAACACTGTGCGGAATCCGAACAGAAATCAAATGTGGACCTTAACCTTGAAGGGAGAAGAGGGCTACTTGAATAAGTACAGTACAAAGTAGAATGCTGTATGTGTCATGATGGAGATACAATAATACCTGGATAAAGGATTGTTTTCTGCAGCAGAAGAGGAGTTTGGTTAGGTACAGATGAAGAGGCGGCGTTACAGGTAGAAGAAAAAGTAAAAGGAAAGCAGAGAAGGAAGATTCCAGGCTATGTAGTATGTGTTAAGGACAGTACATAATTTAATAGAGAATATGGGATTTGTTGAAGGAAAACAGTGAGAAAAGGGGGTTGAGAAGATCCATTAGTGTTTCTCAAAAAGTGTTCTATGGCCACTAAAGGTCCTGGACATTTTTCAGGTAAGTGAATGGCCCATAGGTGGTTTCAGACGAAAAAGCGAAGATACTATTTACATACTGTATTGAAAAATCATATGTGCCTCCTCAGATTCTCTTGGCTTCATCTGTCTCCTGGATTCTCAGCCACCACCCTAAGTGACAACTCCTTGTGGCCCTATATGATTCCAGCTAGAGTCTCTAGCTCCCTCTAACACTCAAGATTCAGATTAATGCAACACAGAATGGAGTGAGACCTAGCTTCCCCAGAAAATGCCAGGGTCTCGATGAATTAAGGGCCCAAAATGGGTTTCAGGAGACTCTGTGAATCAAAGGCAAAAAATGTTTTCTCCTTACATTTTATCCTTTTGTTTCGAAAACACCTTGGAAGGGGGTGAGGGGAGTAAGGGGGCTGTCTCTTAAAAGTAATGTTATCAAAGAACTGTTTTACTCCAACAAGTTTAAGTATACATCTGTATAGGGTATGGTGCTGTATAATGGTCATTATTATCAGTGTCATGACTTTTAGATATCCTGTCCATTATGACTAAATGGAGAGCTACCTCTATTCAGGACTGGCTTAAGTTGGAAAGTATTATATGTATGGGGAAAAAGGACAATTTTTATGGATCCTTAGTTTCTAGATTCTCTGTTAAAAGCAATTGGCATACATGATTGGAGACACCTTAGCAAAGTCATATGACTTTGACACAGGCATGCTGGTCTACAGCTTAGGGCAGAGGAAGAAAGTTGAAGCAGTGCCTCTATCAAATCATGTCACCTTTTCCAAACTCACTGCTATTTATTCCAAAATTTTGAAGCAGAGTATGGAAAAATTGGCAACATGTCATTTACCTTCAGCTTGGAAAGGGATATAAATCTTGATGTACTCAGTGTAGCCAGATATTGGCTTGTAACCATTATATAAGCAGACTGACCCCCATCAAGGAAAAAGTTTCTATTTTGTGAGGTCTCTTTCCACAAAATGATGAAGTTTTGCTCTGCTTTCTATTGTAGAAAAATATTTTACGCACAGATGAAACACCTACAAAAGTTTGGGGTCTGCTTCTTTGAAGAAGAAAAAAAGCTTCTCATATGTTAGGATTCACTGCTTTCTATACCTGCATGTGCTGGTACCAAAGCCTCTGCCTATAAGTCTGAAGACAGTCTGCCTACCGTCAGGAATGTCATCATAATTCATCACTACTTGGGTCTCCAATCACTGCTTAGCAAGAGCTTTCTCTTTCATTCCTAAGAAATGTGAACCAAATATAAAGTCCTTCTGTAACACACGGTTCATTGGTTTCTTAGAGAACAAGTATCATGTTCTTGAGTGCTTTATTTCCATTTTCTCCAAGAAATCACCAATAATTTTTACACAAACACACACACACACACACACGATAGTAAGAAAGACAATTTTTTAACAACAGGAATTTCTGTTCATTTATATATTGTGCATTCTTCCAGAAGTAAGGTGGGTATAGCTTTCCCTTAAAAAGTTCCAGTTCACAACACACAGTATTAGACAGTATTTAGCTACACTGAAACTTGGAGGCCTGGTTCTTTCTGTTACTTTCTTAGTTTTCTTTCTTACTAAAATCTCTCCACTCCCTCTCCTCCTTCCTCCTAATGCAAAGAGAACTAACCTTTGATGGATTGAATGGAATACCCAGGTATGAAGAGCCTCGGAAACCACAGCGATTTAGATTTGATCCTGGAAAATAAAAATAGGTACTTATTTTAAATGTACCTTATTTTTGTACAGATTCTAAAGCAGTTCAGTTATACAGTCTCTCAGAAACAGAGTATTTTAGTACCAAAGTTTTGTCACTGTCTCCATTTTCATGCTAGGCAACACTGAATGTCTGCTCTAGGAGCTTTATGGGAATTTCTTCATTTAATTTCCAAACCAGTCCAAACCAAAACAATGACCTCCTACCAGGTACCTTTAATTTAAGCCTAACTCACTGAGTACAAAATGCTTTCATACTTTTCCTAAATGACCATTTTCATGTCATCAACATATTCAATCCCTCATCTTACAGAACAGAAAGCAGAAGCCCAGATGTTAAGTGACATGTTCAAGGTAATAGCTGGTTAGCAACATAAAAGGATCTAGAAACCTAATGTCCCATCTAGTGCCTTTTTACTTTAACTCATGGCTTCTTTACAGGGGAGCAAGGTAAAGGTATAAACTGCTCTACAGTCACAGAAAATATATGTACTTTGTATTTTAGTATTAGACCTTCATTCTAAGTCCAATACTTTGCTTTGAAGTACAAAAGAACACTGTAAGTTAGCACTTAGTCTCTAGTTATTCAAACTATGTTTACTCACACTGATATTTTTCCTACCTAAAATTTTTCAAGATGTCAATGGAATATAACTGGGAACTTAACAAAGAAAATATCTACATCCATGAAAAGGGAACTCTTGTGACTACTGCTGGGAATGTAGATCGTTGCAGCCACTATGGAAAACAGTATGGAGGTTCCTCAAAATATTAAAAATAGAACCACCATGATCCAGCAATTTCACTTCTGGGTATATATATCCCCCCCAAAATGACATCATTATCTCAAAGAGATATCTGTACTCCCACGTTCATTGCAGCATTATTCACAACAGCCAAGACGTGAAAACGACCTAAGTGTCCAAAGATGGATGAATGGATAGAGAAAATGTGAGCTATATACAGATAAAATGTCATATGTGTTACACATACACAGACACAAACAGACACACACACACACACACAGGAATATTATTCAGCCATCAAAAAGACGGAAATCCTGCCTTTTACAACAACATGAATGAGGCTTGAGGGCATTATGCTAAGTGAAATAAACCAGACAGAGAAAGACATATAGTGTATGTTCTTACTTATATGTGTAATCTAAAAAAGCTGAACTCACAGAAATAGAGAGTAGAATAGTAGTTGTCAGGGCTGGCAGCGGAGATGTTGGCCAAAGGGTACAAACTTTTAACTATAAGATGAATAAGTTCTGGGGATTTAATGTTATGTACAGCATGGTGATTATAGTTAACAATACAGTATTGTATACTTGGAAGTTAAGACCTTAAATAGTAAATCTTAAATTTTATCACCACACACACAAAAAGGAAATTATGTAAAGGGAATGGAGGTGTTAACTAACTTTATTGTGGTAATCATTTCACAGTATATATGTGTATCAAATAATCATGCTGTACACCTTAAATTTATATATATGTCAATATTATCTCCAGAAAGCTGGAAAAAAAATTAAAAAATATAAATGAAAAAAATGGTCATACCCACAATAGGAAAATAATTATGGTTTTGAGAACTATTATAAAATCAGCATGATAAAAATAGAAGGTAGGAACATAGTACCAACAGACTGTACATGCATTGCTAATAAAAAAAAAACCAAGTTGGGCTTCCCTGGTGGCGCAGTGGTTGAAAGTCCGCCTGCCGATGCAGGGGACACGGGTTCGTGCCCCGGTCCGGGAGGATCCCACATGCCGCGGAGCGGCTGGGCCCGTGAGCCATGGCCGCTAAGCCTGTGCGTCCGGAGCCTGTGCTCCGCAACGGGAGAGGCCACAACAGTGAGAGGCCCGCGTACCGCAAAAAAAAAAAACAAAAAAAACCAAGTTGACTTAAAAACAGGTTCCGAGGTGAGGAACTAGCTTCATATCTCTTATGACTGGTACATGACTAATCATAATAACTGGTTTTCAGGTACTATAAACTATTCAGCTTTATACACCTGAAATACTTAGAATAGTAGCTTATACATTAATTCTTTGAGTAATTTAGGAAACTATCCCTAAATTTAAAACTCTCCACCAAGCATCTTCCCCTATTAACAAAAAAATTATTTAAAAAAGAATGTTATCTAATGGTGATAACGATTTTGATGAACATGGTTCTCTTATCTTTGCTTAAGAATTTTAAATTGGTAAGCCATTTAAGACTTGCCAATATATAATGAGTTATACAAAGGCTCATACCTTCTGACTGGTAATGATGCACCTGAAAATCCACTCCAGTAACTTCAAATATGAGATGGTCATATGCACAGAAACACTCACTATAGTATTGTGATGGTAAAAATTTTGAAGTGACACAAAAATCCAACAGGTTAAATATAACATACTATACTCAAAAGAACATTATACTGCTATGAAAAGTAATGATTAGGGAAAACTACATAGTAACATAGAGAAATATATATGCTCAAGTTAAGAGAAAAAGCAGGATACAAAAATATATGTGTATTATGTTTATAATTAGGCGAAGTGGGCTTATCATCAAAGCCTGGAAGAGAATAAATAAAATAATACTGTGTAGGAGGATACGAATAAAGGTGAATTTTGTTCTCTTTATTAGTCATTGTTGTCATCACAAATTACTACAAACTTAGCAACTTAAAACAACACCCATTTATCATCTCACAGTTCTGTAAGGTCAGAAGTCCAAGGCAGGTCTCACCAGGCTAAAAATCAACGTGCTGGTAGGGCTACATTCCTTATTAGAGACTCTGGGGAACAATCTGCCTTCAAGTTCATTCAAGTTATTTGGCAGAATCAAGTTCCTTATGGTTTTAAGACTAAGGTCTCCATTCCTTTGCTAGCTGTCAGCTCCTAAAGGGCACTCTTGCCATTTCTTGCATCTGGGCCCCTGTATCTCAGAATCAGCAATGGTGCTCAAATCCGCCTCATGCTTAGACTCTCTCTGGCTTCCCCTTCTGCAGCATCTCTCTTTTGCCCTCTTTAATCTGCAGTTCTCTGACTGACTCTTCTGCTTTCTTTACTAAGGGCTTATGTGATTATACTGTGCCTGTATGTATAACACTCATCGACCATCTCCACATTTTAAGGTCAGCTAATTAGTAACCTTAACTTCACCTGCAAATTCTGTAGAACTCAGTGTTTGATTAAATAACCAGGGAACAGGAATTTTGGTGGGAGAGGGGGCAACATCTTTAGAATTCTGCCTAATACTCCTTCCAATACTCCAAATTGGATGTTAACACTGTACTTTTAAAATCTAAAATTAAATTATCCCTTCCTTACCAAGCCATGGGTGCCTTTATCCTTTTATCGTCACTTGTTTTAATCCATCTTTAATTGGGCGAGGGGTAGCGTCAAAAGGTATATTTTCCTAGGCTCTATATTTGATCTGATGCCTAAAATGTTTTCCTATTATGACTTAAAACTTTTGCAATCAGTTTTATTTCCTTCAGACTGCCTTTTTAAAAGTTATCCTTTCAAGCTACTGATTTGCTGATAGTTTTCTATGAAAATCAAATCCTATTTCTACTTTTGATGGAAGAAAGCTCTGATTCCACGTTTCAGGTCAGAGTTTATACTTCCCTTAGGAAGCCTTTCTGGAGCCCCCACTAAGTTAGTTAGGCTAACTAAGTAACTTAGTTAGCCTCTGTCAGCCTTAAAGAGGCTGACATACAGTAGGGGTTTAATAAATATCTGTTTCTCAATGAAATTATTTCCTTAGAAATAAATGAATGGAATTTCTATTTGCTCATTTCTGTGTTTTTATGTCACTTAAATTATTAACTTTTCTGAAAACTAGCAGAAATACTGATGCTGAAAAATACCACATAAGGTTAGGAGCTGTGGCATGGACACTTGGAATCAAACTCAATATCCTATTCTTGCTAGCACTGTGTTCTATAGGCAAGTAACAACCTCTCTGAGCTGGTTCCCTCCATTTTTGAACTAGGAACAATAATATACTACAATCAATATTTAGCAGGGTTCTTCTAAAGGTTCAAGGGCATGTTTAGATGGTGTTCAGCACAGTGACTAAGGCTCAATAAATAGTAACCATTTAACATCAGCTAATTAGATGTTATCAAAAGTGAAATAGGAGGAAATTAACAGCTTCTGTTACAATTTATCAAGGAACGTTTTCTTTAAAATAAAAATACCTTTTCTTCCATTTTCAAAATGGAGTACATATCATCATCTTAAAAAATTCATTAGGCCATTCTTTCTGGTTCCTGTCAAGATTTGTCTGCTATTGTGCGTTCTTTTATAATTCTAGTAAGCTTACCTATTCATGATAATTATTAAAATATAAACATGCAATTTATTCCAAATTTACAACTGCATGCAAATTCAGGATACAGTTTAAACCTCTTTGGAGGTTTTTAGATAGCACCATCTAGTGTTCCTATTCAGTAGTAACGAAGCGAACAAAGTGTGATCCGGCTGACCAACAGAATCAAGTACAGTTTGGAAAAATATAGATACTCTTGGGTCCTAACCTCGGCCCACATCAAAACTCTCACAGTAGGGCCTGAACAATCACATATAAGAAAGAAAAATAATCCCTGTCTGATACACAGTCAGAATTGAGAATCACTGATTTGGTGAATGCATACATAAAGTCAAACTAGTTTCCTTGTTTTATGGAAGCAGTCTAGATAGCTATGTATCAAAAAAACCCAGATTACTTTAAAAAAATGAAACTGGGTCTATGGAAAGAAAAGGAAAATAGCAAAAATGGGCATATGCAGATGGATATAATACATATATGTGTATTTATGTGTGAGCACGTAGAGGGATGTGTTATTAGAGAATATAACATGTTTAGCTATCAACCATAAGGAAAACAATCCCTTTATCTGCATGCTTGCACATGGAAGTCAATTATTAAGCTACAAGGCTGACTCCTGCTTGATGACTGCGTCATATCTCATTTAC